ATTAAAGAGCCAGGCTGGAGCAGGAGGACACATTGTATGAATAAGCTATTTCTACTCCCTGTGGTAGGATAGGGATCAGGGGGGAAAAAAAAAAGCTTTCCTCCAGCAGTAGCTTACTCTCTGACCTTGGATAAGTCACTGAACTATTTTCAACTTAGTTTACTTATCTGCAAAATAAGGAGGATAAATTGATTGCCTCATGTCTGAACATGTTTTGATTATTGCTTTCTGCCTGAAGTCAGGGAGTATCGGTTCTGTTTTGCTAGGAAGAGGGTTAAGACAGAAACATTTTATGAGGTTACAAATCTTGCATTATTCAGGGGGTTCTTTAATTGACCTTCCCTTAGAAACACAGCTGCCATCACCAGCAGTGTAATCTGAGAATTTTAAATCTAAAAAACCTTCTGAGGTCTGTGCTTTCTTTTTCTACTAGAAATTCCATACTTTTTTTTTTTTGGTGGAACCGGGGATCCATACTTTAAAAAAAAAAAAAAAAAAAATTGATAACAAAGTCATTGTAAAGAGAAATGGTTTTTATCTCTGTGCCTTCAGATCTGTGCCCCGGTCCCTCAGCTTCTCTGGTTGTGTAAGAGTTTTACTTTTTTATTTTTAAATATTCTTTGCTCCTTGAAAGCCCGTCTTTACCCCCCTAACCAGCCCCATGGTACCTGGGGATTGAACCCAGGGCCTTTGTGTTGAACTGTATCATCAACTTTTTATTTTTTAATTTTTAGTTAGAGACAGGGTCTTGCCAAGTTGCCCAGCCTGTGGTTGAACTAATCCTCCTGCCTCAGCCTTCTAGAATGCTGGAAGTACAGGTCTACATAACCCTTCCTTATTCTTTAATCATTACAAATAGCACTTCATGGAAGCACTTTGCTCAGAAGAAGGGGGAGTGAAACAGCAGCAGAATGAGGTAAAAGAGGTTACAAGTTTGTTATAATGTGGTTGTTTTTTTGTTTACATAAACTGATTATACTTAAAAACATGGTGGAAAAATATATGCGTTGTTCTTCCTGTATATCTGGTATATTTATTAAATGGGAGAGATAAAGGTTAGGAATATTTCTTACAACTCGTTTGACTCTGTATTTAGATTTTTTGAATCTTTGCCTGAATGTTTGACTTGTTATCATTTGCAGAAATCACAGAGAGCATTAATATGATTCTTTCATCAAAGCTTTCATAGCTTGAGTTGGTAGAGAGGAAAATATTAACCTGGTAGTTTCTGTGTATTTTCACTTTAAAGCATGTAAGTTGATAGGCTACTTTTCTGCATTGAGAACCTCTGAAGTTGTTTTAGACATTTGGACAAATCTCAAACAGCTATATTAGATATTTTTAAACTTTATATTTACATTTAAGTTTTATTTATTTATTTTATTTATTTATTTTTTGGTGGAACCGGGGATTGAACTCGGGCCCTTGCACTTGCCTGGGAAGCGCTTATTCCACTGAGCCATTTCCCTGGCCCCCTAATTTTATCCTTTTTTGCCTATAATATAAGTAAGTTAAATATTTTCATCTCTGGTTTTTAGAGAAGTAACTATGAATGCTGGTCTTCTAACGTCATCAACAAAGCAAGTATATTAGATGTCTTTGTGTCTAACAAAAAATTTAGTTTAAAAATCATTTTTAATCTATTTTAATTGGTCAAGGTCATGACCTAAAATCAAATAGTATTCTTTCATATGAAAGTTTTTCTCTATGCTTGGATTTTTTTCTTCTAAATTATTTCCTAAACATTAATACGAGAATTAAAGATTGAAGGAGATAATTCCTAGGTACATATGAGACATCAGGGTGGGAAACTTAACCTGTAAAAAATTTTAAGTTAATGACTATGTCTCCCAAGGAATAAACATGTGGTTGATGTCATGTTAACTCTAGTTTAAACTACTTTTTTTTTTGGCGGGGGAAGGGTCTACAGGGTGGGTGTTCAGGGTCTCACTACTAGATCGAAGTCACAGTGATCAGCCTGTTTACAGCCTCCCAAGAGCTGGGATTAGAAGCATGCACCCTCACGCCTCAGTTTCAATTGCTGTCTCAGCGTTGCCCTGGGGACAGGGCTAGGACCCAGACATCAAACCCCTGGCCCCTGCGCCTGCTTACAGGCACTTTAATCTGCTGAGCTATTTGGCTGGCCCTAGTTTAAACTATTTTGCAATGACTTTTGTTTTTGTTTTTTAGCTGTAATAGCTCAGGGACATGTGCCCATCTGTTGTCATTGCTTTTTACAGGTTATAATCTCTTCCTAGTCAAAATACAGTTTTAGGTTGTTTCTGAGGCATGGTGCTTCTTACAAGCTCACAAAGAAGTTATTTATAAATAGCTGTGTGACCCAGAGTCTTGGGTCACTTTATTAATTGGAATCTGTATACTTAAGACTTTATGTCTATAAAAAGCACACAGCCAAAAAATGGCTATTTAGGATTAAAATATATGCTGTCACCAAATTTCCTTGGATTTTTTTCTCTTGGGTTTTAATATGATGGGAAGTATGTGTGCGTATGTCTGTTTCTGAAGAGCTTTGTTTTAAATATTTCATGTTAACATTTTTATGTATTTGAGAGAAGTAGAGGCTGACTACATTAAATAAATAACCACAGGATTTACAAAGCTTACTAATGCCTGTTCTCAATATCTTTTTTTTTTTTTTTTCCCCCAGAACTGGGGATTGAACTCAGGCCCTTGCACTTGCATGGCAAGCATTTATTCTACTGAGCTATCTTCCCAGCCCTCAAAAGTATCTTTAAAATATAGATTATATTGTCTTTATTCTGTCTCCGTAAATATTTTCTTTCCTTGCCCAAATAATAAGTGAAATACTTTATACTGTGGAGGAATGTAGAAGGGATTTTTTTTTTCCTTTTGAGAATATGGTTGTGTTGAAATAACTCGCATTTGTAGAAATCACTAGATAGCAAATAAAATGGTTGATTTTAAGCTTAAAAATTTATAAATTTATAAAAAAGATTGAATTAGGCCCTGAGGCTAAAGGAGATGCAGACAGTAATACTATTTGTCCCCAGTATTATGAGCAACAGACAGGATGATTATTCTCCAGATACTTCCAAGGGTACAATAACCTGTATCAGTGTTTTTCTCCCGTGGTATTTGGGCCTTGACTATTTTCTTTTTATTTTTTCTACCTTTGTTTATATTCATCTAAAAGGCATTTCTGTCACTTTTATCTGTCATAGAAGTGTCCAGCTATGCCAAAAGCCCTTACAGTCTAGTTTGATGCAGAAAAACAGTGAAATGTCTTGGCTCAAATCAAGAACCAGAAGAGGGCAGGCAGCCCAGCACTCCTCAGAAATAAAAATGTTGATCTATGGAAGTAATGACACCTTGGAATTGCCAATATCTCCCAAACTTTCGTGGTTACTTTTCTCTTGTTGCTGGGACAAAATACCTGACACCCTAAATTAAGAAAAGAAAGGTAGGGGCTGGGGAGATGGCTCAGTAAGGGCCTGAGTTCAATCCCCAGTTCCACAAAAAAAAAGAAAAGAAAGGTTTATTTAGCTCACAGTTGGTGGAGGTTTCAGTCCATACTAAAGTACATACAAGGCTGGCTCCAAGGCAGATTAGCGCATTGCAGAGAACAGCAGTTCACGGTGGTGGAAACCAGCAAAACAAAGGGAGGAGATGCGGTGTCTTGGAAGCCAGCCTGCCTGCCTGCCTGCCTGCCTGCCTGCCTGCCTGCCTGCCTGCCTGCCTTCCTTCCTTCCTTCCTTCCTTCCTTCCTTCCTTCCTTCCTTCCTTCCTTCCACACTAACTGTAAACCAGAGCTCCTCCAAGGAAGTGTGGCTCTAACCATCCTTCCTCAATCGCCTTTATATATACTTTAAGTGCTGAGTCATTCTAGGGTGGGCCCTCCATGCCCTAGGGAGAGGCTTCACATACCCTAGGGAGGGGAATTGCTGACCAGATTTAAACTTTTTACTTCTCAAATTGACAAAATATATCAACCACTACAGGGAATACGAAGGTGGAGTAGGATTCCATAAAGAATTAAAGGTGTGAAATTTAGAAGGAAAATAAAGCAATTTGAAAGAAAAAAGAAATACAAGACAAAAAGCTACCCTGAGAGAGAGTGATTAAGGGACCTAGAGCTGAATATCCATGGCCCTTTGCACCCCAGATGTTTTTACTGGATATCTGGGCCCTTCCCCCTACTTGCAACTTGCCATAACCTGATGAGTTGCCTGGATTATTTGTCACAGATGGATCCCAGGCCCTAAGACTCTAACCCCATACGGCACATTCCTAAGTGATCTTTATTTGATTTTCTCTTGCCTTGTCAGGGCCTTATCTTCAGACCTCATGGGTTGGTTAGAAGGGATCTTACATACAAGCATACAAGGTTGAGTAAGCAGTTAAGTTTGAGGGAGGTATGTGAATTTAGTGCAGTAGCGTTGTGTATGTGTGTACGTGTGTATTTTTATATACTAAAAGCTGTCTTTAAGTAGCTACCTCATGTTTTCTTTGTATTTTAGTGAAGGTAGTGGTGAGTTGCTGGACAAACTTGATGAGGAGCTAACCTGGCTTATCACTTTTCAGTTCTTACTCTTTCTGGTCAGGATTAGTCACAAAACCCAATGAAGCTCTTTCTTCCCCTCTAGACTGGAGAGAAGGGAGGAATCTTGCTGCTGTGAATTTGCCAAACACCATCAGCTCTCTTGTGAGGCAGCAATTATTGTTATTCCAATTGTTTTTTTTTTCTTCAGTTTTGATAGGTAGCAGGGAAACATGAGTAGAAATGTAATTATGTGCCCAAATGTAGATTAATCCTTTTACTTTTATCTGTGTCATCTACGCAAAAATGTTTAATTTTGAGCCTCTTTTATTATATAGTCCTAATTAGCTAATCCTGATAAAATCCTGCTGGAGGATCATGAGACCATAAGATCAAGTCCTTTTCACTTGCCAGCACACCAGAAATATAGCTGTTTGGGTAGTTGATTTTTCAGTTAACAGTTTTATATTTTTGTTTTAAGATCTTAGCAAAGCAATGTCTCAAGATGGTGCTTCTCAATTCCAAGAAGTCATTAGACAAGAGCTAGAATTATCTGTGAAGAAGGAATTAGAAAAAATACTTAGCACAGCACCCTCACATGAGTTTGAGGTAAGGACTTTACAGTATATTTTGCTTCATCTATCTACAGACTTAGTTGCTTCCAGGGGTGAATATCTAGCCTGAAATAAGCATTAGATGTTTGATAACATGAAACAAAAATTTTTGCATTACTTAACAATTAAGAATTTCAAATTTGCCTATATTAAAATCATTAAATCTTTTTTTTTTAATGTAGGATGTTTTAAAAATCACTGAAAATAAGAATAAAATTATGTTTTATTCTGTGTTTTGGTTTCACTAGTAGAAAAATATATCAGTATTTTGTGGAAATTGTGAATCAGTAGAATATCCTTTTTTAATTTGTTTGTATTTAATGTTTTAAGTTAGCTGTGTTTTTTTTCTTTGTGTTCTTTTGGCAGAGATACTATTTTACAATGATACATGTATATGCATATTTATAGCAGCACATAGTAATAGCTACATCTTGGAAGTGGCCTATATGTCCATCAGTAGAAGAATGGATTTAAAAAATGTGATATTTACATACCATGGAATAGGAAAATGGATGTACCATGAGACCATAATGTTCAGTGAAGTAAATCAGACATACAAACTTCAATATTGTGTGGTTTCTCCTATGTAAGAAACCCAAATATAAACAAAGAACAAAATAAAAGATAAAAGGGAAACAGATCTTTCTCAAAGGGGGAGGAGATTAGGAGATGAGGGGAGGAGGGAGTAAGGCAAAAGAGATACAAAAGGAATGAAGATTTGTTATGTATGTGTTCCAACTCCAAACAAGTAATGTAAACATGTACTGCAAACATGTACTAGGAAAAATGAAGGAGGTCAAGAGACAGATGGAAGGAGATGAAAGGGATGAGCAAAATAATTTAGATGTTTTATATACACATATCAGCTTCGCACAGGGAATGTAAACATGTGCCAAAAATATGTGGTAATAAATTGATCTGAAAAAAAAGATTAATTTCCACATAGAAGTAGAGAAATGTATTGGTGATAATGCAGAGAAACAGTTGAAATTTCCAGGAACTGAATCGTATTCAAGTTACGTGACACTGTACTGATAGGAAACGGGGAAGATTTTTGGCTGCTTTTCCTTGAAATGTGGTTCTTACTAGCATTTCTACTCTTTATTTTTAAATTAGAGTGTGAAAATCTTCTCTGTATTCTAAAAGACTTTTTTTTTTTTTTAATTTTTAAGGAAGAGTCTACAGGGTGTTTAGGGTCTCACTACTAGATCCAACTCATAGTGATCCGCCTGTTTACAGCCTCCCAAAAGCTGGGATTACAGGCGTGCACTATGACTCCCAGTCTCAATTACCATCTCAGGGCACCCCGGGGGCGGGGCCAGCACCACAGGCCTGAGGATCTAACCCCGGCTCCTGTGCCTGCTTGCAGACACTTTAATTCACTAAGCTATTTGGCCGGCTCTTATAAGAATCTCTCTTTCTTTCTTTCTTTCTTTCTTTCTTTCTTTCTTTCTTTCTTTCTTTCTTTCTATTTTATTTAGGACAGGTTGTACAGGGTGTATAGAGTCTCGCTGCATAGATCGGACTCATACTGATCCTCCTATTTAAGCCTCCCAAGTGCTGGGATTATAGGTGCGCGCCACCACACCTGGTCTCAGTCACCATCTCAGTGCACCCCGGGGGTGAGGCCAGCGCCATCAAGGCAGGCCAGGGGATAAAACTTCAGTCCCCTGTGTCTGTCTGAGCAGGCGCTTTAATCCACTGAGCTATTTGCTCAGCCAAGACTTTCATTTAACTATTTTAAATGTATGGTTTATATCTTTTTATTAAATATTAAGCGGCTTATAATGATGACTTCTGTTTTTACAGCACACTAAAAAAGATCTTGATGGATTTCGGAAGCTATTTCATAGATTTTTGCAAGAAAAGGGACCTTCTGTGGATTGGGGGAAAATCCAAAGACCTCCAGAAGATTCAGTAAGTTTTATGTAAAAATTAAGAAAATTTAAAAATACTTTTGGATGTTGGTTAAATTATGGAGATGAAGTAGTGTAGAGGATCTGTAACAACCATCACATCAGGTGTACAAATTGCTTTGCAATCTCTGACCCCTCCTTCTGAAACTTCAGAGGTGGCTTTCAACTATTGCCCTTTTTTTCAGATCTTTTTATGTTACTGCTGAAGACTTCTGAATGTCTGATCTCCCTGTAGCACTGTCCCATAACGTAACATCCCTGTTAATGAGGTCATACATTTAGTACAAAACACACCTTATAGGTTTCATGCTTGTTTCTTTATCAGTTCTCAGCCATTTGATTCCTCACTAGTCATTTTAAAGCTGTCTTCATGCTTTCATCTTTGTGATGTAATATTGACTGTCTGTCTCACATGAACTGACCTGGTTTCCTATTTACATGCATTTCGTTCTGCTTCTAGATTTCTGTATCTGTTGTTTTCTTGGGATGCAGTTGTGTCTTCACTTATCAAAATTTGCTTGTCCTCACTGGTCTCCAAGTATAAGATGCACTAAAGAAGCATGGAGTAGTAGTACTGGAGGTATAAATCCTAACTCTGCTGTTTTACCAGTTTTGTCTAGAATGAGAACACCAAGTACTCGTGTACTTCACGGGGTTGTTATGAGACTTTGTTAAGGTAATATATGTGGAAAGCTGTTAAACCCTAAAACATCTTTCAGAGTTAGTGATTATTTCTATATCATGTAGTACTTAGCCAGCCTAATTGGTAGTAGGTATTTGTGTGTTGTCTTCTCTAGAGCCAGGGGACCATGTGTACTGAGTAAGTGTTTATTGTATGGATCATCTAAATGAAATGATTGTTTAAGAAACAGGTTTTATTGAACATATTAATTATTCTTCCCTTTCTTATCAGCTCTGTTGACTTCTGCTACTAATAACGCCTTTCACTGCTAGTAGAAATTAAGACATGATAGTAAAATAGCTATATGTAGTCTTTGTCTCTTTTATCTCTTATTGGCCTGTAATTTTACATAATCTAGTATTTATTTAAGAATTTTACAAAAAAACAAAGAATTTTATTTCCTCTCTCTGTAGTACATATAACAGTCTGGCATATGTTATGTGCTAATCTTGAGCAACAATAGTAACAATAGCAGCCAACATTTATTCAGCATTAATGTGAACGGGCATTGTTTTTAGCTCTTTACTTATAGTTCCTATCATGACCCACACAGCACTGGGAACTATTTTCCATGTTTCACAATGAGTTACTTTGAGGTTGAGAGGGATTGTTCTCCATACAGATTTTTTTAGCTTCTTAAGCCAGAATTTAGGCTCAGGTCTGCCTACTTCTGGGCTCTTAAAGTACTGTGATATATTGTAGAACAGTCAACCAACTTACAATCAGTGGTTTTTTTTTTTTTGTTTTTTTTTTTTAATATTTAAAGTTTATTTACTCTAAACAGCAACACAGACAAAACACCATATGAATTCAGAGGAAGTGATGCAAAATCGAGACACTAGCTGACTTTGGATTTGAGGCTCATAAGCAACACAGCCCAGATTCTGAGGAGATTGGATGAGGGGTGGGAGGGGCAAGTGATTTTCTTCATGTATAGCCAGCTAGAGGCTGTGGACAGCTCTGAGCAGTGGGAAGCATGCCTGCCTCCGAGAGCATAGGACTAGCTCCTAGGGGACTTACCCAAGTATAAAAGTTTGTAATTTTATAGCAGTTGAAATACTGACATCAATATTAAAATAAAAGCAAGTTTTATATAACTATTAAAAATACAAAAGACTGGAGGAAGAGAACCTGTATGAAAACGGGGTGATTCAGTGGATGAAAACTGTATGCCAGTGGCACTCGCCCAGCCCTCTCAGGTAACTAGTGAGTCTAGGAGTGACTAGATTTGCAAAGGGTGTAAACGAGTTCTTGCCAAACCAGTCCCTTCCTTTCTGCAGAGCTATAAGGCCGCTGCTTAGGAGGGTGCAAACTTCTTGGCTTGTGCTCGAACCCTTTTCTCATATTCCACTGTTGTGGCAGTAGATTGTGTAGGCCTCTGCTTGAGCTGGGTTTTGGATATCTGGTTCACTTAGAAGTTCCTGTGTTTCTCATAAGATCTATTTGATCATGATGGCTGGCCTCCAGTCTTTATCCTCCTCTGCGATGGACAGGCACACAGTGTCTGAAGGGTACACATTTGGGTGGAAGAGTGGTGACTCAAATTTACGTTTTGGTGGGGAGAATGGATAATTATCTTTGAAAAACATCCACAGCTTGAACAAGCCTACTTCCCAGGGAATCCCCTTCTTTCCCGAAATGGTGCCCTCCCAGTTCATCAGGTTCATTGTACCACTGGGATTCTTGGTAGGGACAGCCACAAAGCCAAATGGGTGGTCTTTTCTCCAAGCTTTTCTCTCCTGGGCAAGTCTGCTTAGGGCAATCCCTGACATATTCAAAGTGCCTAGCGGCAGAGGACCACAATCAGTGTTTGAAAGGAGCTTAAAAGTCATTAAAATAGTCTTGTCATCATTTTTTATCTATTGAGTAGAACCATTATTGAGTAGAACCATCTATTGAGTATAGCCTACTGAGAGAACCTGAGCTTCTCTCCTTCCTCTATGCTAGAACATTTTGAAATTCTTGTAAATTCAACAGGTACTTATTGAATAGATACTGTGTGGTAGGCCCCAAGATACTGCACAAGGGAATGAGGCAAAGAAGAGCCTGATACTCATGGACCTGCGTTCTAGTGGGAGAGATAAAAAATACATGTGTAAATAGTTAATTGCAGAAACTAATTTCCCACTGTTGTATTCTTGGCTTACCCTCAAGAATCATATCTGGCCTGACCAAAGTCTTTTTGCTAGTTATCTGTTAGTCATTACATGAAGGTATAGAAGTTTCTACTATTCATTATTTTTATTCTACAAATCTGTCACATACTGTTTTAACCTAATTATTATTATTATTATTATTATTATTATTATTATTATTATTTTGTATTTTAGGGAAGGATCTATAGAGTGTTCAGGGTCTCACTACTAGATCAGACTTGTAGTGATCCACCTGTTTACAGCCTCCCAAGAGCTGGGATTAGAGAGGTGGGTGCCACCATGCCCATTCTCAATTGCTGTCTCAGCGCGCCCCTGGGGCTGGGCCAGCACGGTAGGCCTGGGGATTGAACCCTGGTCCCTGTGCCTGCTTAATCTGCTAAGCTATTTGGCCTGCCCTTAACTTAATTATTGAATATGCACAAATAAAGGCAATAATTGCTCCTAAGACTTCACAGTTTGGTAATGTTTTCCAGATATGTAAAGCATTCCATGCCTTCCCATAGAATGGTGTGCATGCATAGAAAGCAAATGTAAATATAAGAAGCTATTTAGTGGGGAGGAAAACTTTGCTGCCCAGTTCCTAGAGCTAAAGAAATTAGTAACCTGAGAGATGCTATAGCAAACCAGTTTTAAACTTTAGTTTTAGGGAGATGTCTACACAGAGATATGGTTATTGCATGTATTCTTCATTCTGTTTGAATGCTTTGATATACTCTTATTATAAGTTCTTCCCTTGCCAAAGTGAGTGGCTCACCAAAAGTTACTTATGTTTGTCCCCAACTTTTCTTTGTTGTAATGAAATAGTTTGACTAAATTTTATGTGAACCAGTGAAATGGATTTTAAAATTTTTATTAGTGTTTTCAGTACATAAGGATATTTATTATGATGAGATGGTACATGTATGTAGCACATCTTAATTATTTTTTCATCCCTTACTCCTCCATACTCTCCCTGCTCCCCCCCCCCCTTTTTTTTTTTTTTTTCATTTTAGGCTGGCCTTGAACGTATTATGTAGCCCAGGCTGCCTTCAAACTCTCAGTGATCCTCCTGCTTCAGCCTCCCAGAGTACTGGGATTACAGGCATGCACCACCACACCCAGCTGGGTTTTCTATGTGGAGAATCATGTTGACCAGGACTGGTAATAGTAGACATTCTTATGTTGTTCTTTATTTTAGTGTGAAAGCTTTCAGTTTTTCACCATTTAATTTATGTTGGTAGTAGATTTGTCATTAATTGTTTTAATAAATTGAGGTCAGATCCTTTGTATACATGTTTTCTTTGGGTTTTTTATATGAGAGGATGTTCGATTTGGTCAAAGGCCTTTTCTTTTTTCCCATTTATTTATTTGGTATAGGGTCTCACTATGCAGCTCAAACTGTTGGACTTGTAGTGATCCTCCTGTTTTCAGCCTCCCCAGTGCTGGGATTACAGGCATAAGCCAAAGCAGGTGCTTAGTCCACTGAGCTATCTTGCCAGCCCAAAGGCTTTTTTCTGTATCTTGAGATCATGTGATTTTTGTTCTTGTTTCTGTTTATATGATGGATTCATGTATTGATTTGTATATATTGAAACCATTTTTGCATCCCTGAGATGAATCCTGTTGTTCATGATGTATGTTTTTCCACAATTTGTTGAATTCTCTTTGCCAATACCTTGTTGAAAAATTTTGCGTCTATTTTTACTAATGGAATTATCCCCTAAGTCTGTTTTTTGGTGGGCTCCTTGTCTGGTTTTGGAATTGAGAATAGTAGCTTTTTTTTTTTTTTTTTTTTTGCAGAACCAGGGATTGAACTCATGCTCTTGTACTTGCCAGGCAAGCGCTTATTCTACTAAGCTATCTCCCTGGCCCCAGGAATAGTAGCTTTGAGAAATGACTTTGTAAATACACCTTCCCTTTCAGTTTCATTAGAGTTTGAGGAGTATTGGTGTTAGATCATCTTTAAAGTTCTTTGTAAAATTCAGCAGTGAATCTAGCAAGACCCAGGCTTTTCTTAGTTGGGAGATTTTCTGTTACAGCTTCAGTATCATTACCTGGATTGGCATTTGGGTTTTTAAAAATCTTTTTGATTCAGTTTTCGTAATTCTTATGTATCTAGGGATCTCTTATTTCTTTCTGAGTTCTTCAGCGTATTGGCATACAGATTTGTGAAGTAGTTGCTAATAATCTTCTGGATTTCATGATTGTCTGAAGTGATCTCACATTTTCTTTCACACAGATTTGGCTCTTTTTTTCTTTTTTAGTAAGATTGACTAATGTTTATTCTTTTAAAGAACCAATTGATTGGTTGATTCTTTGTATTTTAGTCATCTTTTCTTTGATTTCTTCTCTGTTCTTTATAATTTCCTTCCTTGTACTATCTTTAGATTTGGATTGTTTTTGTTTCTCTGGGATCTTGGGGTCATTATTTGGATTTGCTGTTTCTGAGCTTTCTTTGTAGGACTGCTTTCATTGTGTCCCATAAGTTCTGTTATGTTGTAGTGGCATTATCACTTAACACGTTCGTGCCAGCTTGAACCACCAGTGGTACATGCATGACTGCTTTATCAGGTCGCTTGAACTGTTTTACAGGGTGCCTCTGATTACAGTAATGCAAAGAAAGGCATTGATTTAGCAGACTACATTTCATCATATGGCTACATATTTTCCTTAAGGAAAATATTAAAATGATACAAAAATTGTAGTATAATTAATTTATAGCACAGCAGTTGTAAATTCATATTATATACACAATGTCGTATTTGTAAGATTTCCATGTTAAAATATGGAGAATTAATGATAACCTGTTAATCTATGAAGAGCCATCACAGGTAGTCCCAAGTTAATGTGGCAGCTTAGTGGTCATCAGGAATCAATGCTGCTGCTGTGCCATCATTACCATATCCTTGTGGTTCTACATGGTTCTTTTTAACTGTCATGTCCATGTCTGTATTCCAAACAACAGAAAGGATGGCAATAGGCATGCCCATGTCCTTCCACAGACATCTTGAAGATCTTTCAATTTGTTTCTAGCCATTAAAGTCATCCTGAACTTTGGCACAAGTAGCTTCAAGGAAGGTAAAAGAATATAGTCTGGGTGACAGTATTCTTAACGGATAGGATTCTAAATGTTGTTGACATCATTGGTAGCTAATAATCTTTGCCATGCCATATCATTGCTTTATTTTGACATGATCAAATTCTGTTTTTAAAAGATCACCACTTGGGAGAGGGAAGGTGGGGTGTAGGGAGGTAAGAAAAGACTGAAAGGATGTGATGAAGTTTTGGTTTTTTTTTGAGTCTTGCGAACTTGTTCAATTTGCACTCAATCTTATGATCCCATTCTGCCTTAGCTTCCCATAGCACTGAGTTTACAGGCATTGACCAGTATGCCTCAGAACTTGGTGATTGATCAGATGTGAGCAGGCTCCTGGCCTAGCAGCTGAGACATGAGTGATGAAGCTGTGGAACTGGAGATGTACTTAGAATGAGTTTTGCACAGAGTGGGCAAAACAGGTAATGTTTCAGAATTCAAGGGGATGAAAACATTTTGAGATTTAGGGAGTGGTCAGTTGTGTCAAATACACCCAAAGACACTGATAAGAGAAATATTTCTGTTATTGCTAGAATTTAGCAATTAGAGGTTGTTGGTGCAGTATTAAGAGCAGTTGATCCGTGACAAAGACTGTCAGGTAAGAGAATCAAAAGAAGGTAAGTAGAGGTACTCAAGGGGGAAAAAAGGCTGAAAATAAGACTGAATGATTGATGAAGTGGAGTCCTTGAGGTGGACATGGGTAGAAATTGCCTTAGGATACAGGGCAGCTCTCCCTATAATTAGAAGGAAGGAAAGAAATAAGAGTAGAGATGCAAGGAAGGTTTGAAGAAAGTCAGAAAGTCAGTGTTTTTTATTCATTTTTGAAATAGGAGTTGAACTCATCTTGGTGGTTGGAGTGTTAATGAACTTGTTGGTGGACCATGCATCAATGTTGTCATATATGATTTATCAGTTTTTTGTGTTGAAAAATAATTCGTGGTCTAGGTATGGTTTTCCTGTTATTAACCAACTTATAGGTTCTTCTTTCAAATGACCCATATTCTGGTCATTACTTTTAGAAGAGTAAAATGACAAGACAGTACAGTATGTGAGAGTGCCTAACATAGAACTTGGTGTATACACACTGTGCTTAAGGGTTTAGTGAATAAGCCAGTGTTCTTGGAGCACTTTCTGTACATATGGAGCATCATCACTAATTTGTTTTACTGTGTACACAGCTCATTTTCTTTCAGGCAGACTTGGTTTTGTTGAAAAAGTTCTTTCAGATTGCAATAATCATACTCTTGTGAGCCGTAACAGGGCAGGTACTGTTAGCTTGCTTTGGGTATTTGGCACTGTCTCCAGGAATAGCACAAATATGCTAACCAGAACTGGGTTATACTAATGCTAATGGGAACAGTGTGTCCATGACTGTATAATGAATTTGCCTTTTCTTCTGACTGGAAACTAAGTTGTGAACAGACTTGGCAAGATACAAATCATGGGAGTCTTTGAAAAGATCTCTCTTCCATTTCTGTAGAAAAACTAGGTTGACATCGTAGAGGGCAGAATGTTGTTTAAATCACGTTCTTTAGTAGATTGCCAGTTGCTTTCTTTCACTCTTTTCCCCAGAGGAAGTTAGATATTTGAGTGGTTTCCTTCCACCAGTTTTGTTTTGTTTTTTAAAGACTGTCCTGGATATTTTGTCTGGTGGTGCCTCATGGGGTTTTACCCTTCCTCACCTATGAAGGGTCCCATAATGTCTAGTTAGCTGCAGTGAAGTCTTCTTAGGACCCTGAATTCTACTCATTTCTGGGCAGAAAGAGCAACAGAGTGATTAGGATTGTAAACACAAAGATCGTACTTAGTGACTGAGTAGAGTGATTCAGTCAGTGTCACTTCAAGGCTATATCCAGTAGTGCATGATACTCTCTGTCGTCTCTGAACCCCATCCGTTTTGTCTGAGTTAATGTCTTTGTGCAGTCTCCTGGGGGAGCCAAGAGGGAAAGTGGAAGACAGGTCTAAAAATGTCTCTGCAACTAAGTGTGTCCAGTATGACTTCAGCTGTTGCTAAGTAACTAACACTGATCCCTTTGGTTTGTTAATCCAAACAGCTCTGTGGGACTGCTCAGTGAGGTCCCCTGGTGGAGGTTGTGGACAGTGTCAACAACAGAGAGCACTTTTGTTGACATACAAAGGTGATTTATGTGACAGAAAGCTGTGCTTATATTTCAGACAAAAATGTCCTGGCTCTCTGGACTCAGTTCTTTGATTCAACTGTGGCTGTGAGTTTTCTTTGCATATTCATATATGTGTGGATTGGGAGTCCTGGGGGAAATGTAAGTCAGCTTGACATACAAGTCAGGTCTCCAGCTAGCCTCGCATGGTGGTGCACACGTGTAATAACAGCACTCTAGAGGCTGAGGTGGGAGGATCTACATGAGTTTGAGGCCAGTCTAGGTTACATGGTGAGTTTAAGGCCAGCCTGGACTATGTAGCAAAATCCTGTCTCAAAAACAAACTAAACAACTGAACCACCAACTGGTCGTTTCAGACAGTAGCATTATCCTCATTGGTGTGGATATCTCTCCCCTCTTTGTATGTTGTTACAAGTAGGTATTACTACTTGTAGGTATTGTTACAAGTAGGTATTATTAAGAGTGGAGCAACTCTTAGCCCTCTTAATTTAGGGAAAGGGTAATCTGGGAACCAAAATGCTAAATATGACTCTACTGTGAGTTGTCAGGGCTTATTCCCAAGAATCTGTTAACTTGAATTTAGATAGATTGTTTGATTGATTGATTGATTGATTGATTTTGCAGTACTTGGAATTGAACTCAGGACCTTGCACTTGCCAGGCGAGTGCTTATTATACTGAGCTATCTCCCCACCCCTGAATTTAGAATTTTAATGTTTATTTCACACCAAGTATTTGAAAAATATTCAGAATGACATTTAAAATTCAAACTTAGATTCTTAAGATGCCAGCTTTCAAGAGATTTGAATTGAAAGTAGATATCTATTCAATACACCTTTTAGCTGAAGGCCAGATGGCTTAATGTTAAAATCAATATGAGGTTGAGACCTTATTTTACGATCCTATAGTAAGTTTTTAGGATATGAGAGAAAATTGTAGTTGTTACAGTTTAGAAATTCAATATCTACACTGTAAAATGTTAATACACTGGAGGAATAACAATTCCTCCTCATAGTCATACACTAGAGCACTGTGGTAGTCACTAATCATACCTGCATTTCCATATAGACTTGCATTAACAAAGGTTGGTGGAGCAGCAAGATATTTTTCAGCTGTTTGGCTGGTACTGATTCACTGCTGATTGTGATGTGGCTCCTATGGCTTCACCTCCTTCCTCTCTGATAGGGACTGACTGAGGGCGAGCTTTGTCCTTTCAATATTCTGAATTTGGAAGTTTTATTAATGGCGGTGATGCCATTTCCTTGAAGTTATCCTAAAAATTTAAGCTTAGTGATGTTCACAGGTGATTTTAACCATCTCCGATTTAGTATTGCCTTATTTGGCGTTTTTAAAAATACAAATGCACACACTTGTTGCTTCATAAACTCACTTAAGATCTTAGATTTTTGGATCTAAAAATTTGGCTTTCTTTGTAAATGAAGCAATGTCTCTCAAGACCATAGGTTTGTCTGTGAAATTTCATCTATATTTTTGGCTTTCATTGCATAAACACTGATTTCAGAATCTTTGCTAGGTTAGAGTGAGTTGAGAGTCTTCACACTTCTATCTTGTAAGAAGTCTTCATAGTTAGGGCATGTAAATTGGTTATTTTTTAGTTGGTTTATAGATCCATCAACAAATAAACCCACACTAGTTGTTAGTAAGTCAGCGTTAGTTTCTTCCAAAGTGTAATTTTGGACCTACATTTCTTTTTAGGCAGCTTGAGTAAAACATAGTAACTAACAAATACTTTGGGTGATCATTCATGTAAGTAAATGCTCCCTGGTAGCAGGTCTTTGAGGTAGAATGAGAATAGCTCATGGCATCTGAGCTTATAGCAAGCAGCTGAGAAGTCCGAATGAAATATTGAATGTTGCTGACTCGTAAATCATTTTCTAATAGTATTTGCCATTCACAATTGTATAACACTTTTTTTTTTAAAAAAAAGAAAAAGATACATTTTTCCATTCAGATAATTATATTTTTAGCAGAATTCAGTTTATCAGTGTATGATGCTTTCACACTTAAAAAGTTGTTCTGATTGTGACTGCCTGAGGAAACATAGGGAGGGGAAGAAGCATATTTAAGTAGAGTAGAGTAGAATAGATTTGAGCAGAGTAGAGTAGAGCTTTTCAAGAACATTTCTACAAGGAACCTTGTATTGAGGACTTAGAACTTGTTAAGAATCTGTTCAACTAAGGGCCAGCCAAATAGCTCAACGGATTAAAGTGCCTGCAAACAGGTGCAGGGGATGGGGGTTCAATACCCAGGCCTGCTGTGCTGGTCCACCCCCGGGGTCCACTGAAATGGCAGTTGAGACTGGGTGTGGTGGTGCAAGCCTGTAATCCCAGCTCTTAGGAAGCTGTAAACAGATGGATCACTACAAGTCTGATCTAGTAGTGAGACCCTGAGCACCCTGTAGACCCTTCCCTAAAAATACAGAAAAAAAAAAAAAAATCTGTTCAACTATTTAACGAAGGTTAGTGGTCTATAGGAAACATTTTTATATGATTTTCATTATATGTTTAACCCCAGACTCATTTATAAGGAATTGTCTTCTTCTCTTTCTCCTCCTCCTCCTTCTCCTTGAGACAGGGTCAGGGTTTCACTGTGTAATCCAGGTTGGCCTTGAACTCACTGCAATCCTTCTTTCTGCCTCATCCTCCTAAATCCTCCTGAGTGCCAGGATCTCCTGAGTGCTAGGATTGCAGGCATGTGCCTGGCAAGGAATTTTTTTTTTTTTTTTTAAATATATTTGGTACAGGGTCTCATTATACAGCTAGGACTCATAGTGATCCTCCTGTTTGCAGCCTGCCCAGTGCTGGGATTACAGATGTGTGCCACCACACCAGGTCCCCATGGCTGGCTCAGCATGCCTTGGGGTGGGGCTGGCACAGCAGGTGGTGCTGAGGATTGAACCCCAGTCCCGGTGCTTGCCTAAGCGGGCACTTAGTCCACTGAACTATCTTGCCAGCCCTAGGAATTGTCTTCTTAAAGCATTCTAGTAAATGCATGTTTTTAAAATTTGATTAATGAAAACAAAATGTACTTAGGTAGCTCTGTCTCTAAATCATAAACTTTATATTCTTTATGGTATAGCATAAAGATGATCAAAGATGCCTTATGAATATACATAATTTTGAAGTTCTTTCCTCTCCTGGTGAAGTCCCCCCCCCCCCCAGAACCGGGGATTGAACTCAGGCCCTTGCGCTTGCCAGGAAAGCGCATATTCCACTGAGCCATCTCCCCAGCCCCCCTGGTGAAGTTTTAAGGCAATGATCTTGATGTTTGGTTTTAATTCATTTTCTTGTAAGGTTAAAAACTTATTGATACTTTTTGTTGAAGAAATAAAATTAAAGACTGAAGTATCAATAAGTTTTTAACCTTACAAGTATCCTAAAGTACGATTTAATGCTGTAAACATTGTATGCCAAACAGTTCCTTAAAGATTAGAATTAAGATGTACTCTAATTTGGATGATTCTGCTCAGCATTGTTTTTTAAAAGTATATAAATAGGTGTCAACTCAAAATGAAATATCTAATATGTGTACTGAATTTTTATTTACTGTCATTCTGTTTTCCAGTATAAAATGTTTGAAAATATTACTATATATAAAATTAATAACCTTCAGAATCATTAATTGTAACGTTTTCATGTTAGTAATGAGTATTCCTATTTCAACTGACTGGTAAGGTGTATATATGCAACTTTACTCCAAGTAACATTAAGGTAATGTTTTACCTCTATTTCCAACAAAATATTTAAATATAGACAACACATGCCAGAAATATGCCTTGTTTGTGTTGCTGACGTTGTGCCTACTTTATAAGATGATTCAATTTATGTATACTCTAATGTTAGGGATGATAATGGGACCGTGGATAACTGGTAGAAAGCCTTGGAGAAGAATATTTTTTGTTTCTCAGTATTTATTTTACATAACAGTGTAATATATGGTAGGGTAGAAGAAATAAAGAGTTACAGACTAATGTTTTCTGGAAGGATCTGCTAACAGCAAGATTTGTGTGGTCAGAATATACATATGGGAAATGAGTATGTTTGACCAAACAAAGATTTTTGCCTCCACAGGCTTAGATCTCTGGGGTGAGTTCATCACAAACATCACCCATCTCTTCCTCATCTCCTCCCTCTCTCTTCCTCCCTCTGCCACTACATGCTCCTGAGGGTAGAACAAACAAAACTAATTATCAGAGAGCACCTACTGTTTGGCTTTATTCTTTTAGTTCACTTATGTGTCACCTGTCCTGATGTAACTAGAGTTCATTAGATGATTTATCCCTTTGAAGCAAAATAACAACAAAAATGTCACATAATGGGTAAAAAATACATTGTGATCTTTTTGAAAGCTTTCTTTCTTGCTATAAGATGCTGAGACCTGTTTATGCCTCTGCTTTGAACAAAATCTTGGGTCTCTGCTGTCAGTGTCATTCTTCCTTAGAAGAGAGTAGTTGAGATGAAGGCTCTCTGCTCACAGAAATAGATGAGGATACTAGGAAGGAGATTTAGTTGGGATTTTTCTCAAGCCAATACCTTTGCTTTCATTCTCTCTCCCAGGGCATTTCTTGGTACACTGAGAACACTCAGTTTTCCAGGATGAGCTTTTTATACAATGACACCTGAAAGTTAAATTCTTTTTTTTCTTTTGCCAGCTCAGCCTGCCCAGAGGGCAGGGCTGGTGTAATATGTGGTGCTGAGGATCGAACTGTGGCCCCCTACTCCTGCCTAAGCTTGCCTAAGCAGGTGCTTTAGACTCCTGAGCTATCTCACCAGGCCCCTAGAATTAAATCTTGAGAAAAGAATTTGGTCCTCATAAATACTTAGAAGTGAAACTGAAAACTGTGCTACCTGCTTATAAAGGGAGAGTTTAGGATTGAATGGAGGAGCATGATAAAGAACAAATGTTTTAGGTTTTTGCTTCCTGTAGTAGAAAGAAAAATGTATGATTATATATGTTCTCCAGAATTGAAGCAGCTGCACCAGGAGTATTTAGACTTGATGAGGTTTGTGTATATCATTTGGTATGTAGATGCATTTTGGAAATATAAGTTTTTGGAGATAATCCAAGAAACTTGGATGTTCCTGCCAGCCAAATACATATAGACTACAATGTTCCCCTTATACTCCATTATAATACAGAACCACTGAACTATAACTGTGTGCAAGGGAAGTTGCCTATAAGTACTTGATTTTGAATTAGAAAGGCCTGCAACATTAAAGTAAATGTAGTTGAAACTTTCCAGAAAAATTTTTTTTTCTTTCAGTTGTTCTTTATTACAAAATCATAGATCTAATTACAAATTTAACCTATAACTTGGTAATCTTTAGTCAGATAATAAGTTTTAATAAGACAAACATTTCAAAAGTGATCACAGAACAACTAAAAATGCAGAATAAGGATGAGAGATGACTGGCCAATAGATTTAGTTTTCATTAAGTGAAACCCCAAGCTTTTCTTTTTTAGGAAAAGTAAACTAATTTCAGTAGACAGCAGTATGGGAAGTTTCTGATAGGTAATAGTTTCCATTTAGTCAACTGCTTCTGGCTGTCTCCATTGAGGTAGATAAATTTACATAATGGGCTGTGCTTGAGCTTTCTTTGCAAACTTTCTTTACATCTCTCTGCGCATGGCAATTGTCTTCTTTTCCTGCTGTGCAGAGATGCTGTGCACCACTTGCTTCTATACTCAGTGTAGCAAGTACTCTTGTACTTTTCGGTGCATCATGTTCTGCAGAGATAGGGCAGTTTAGGTGATTCTTTACTTCCTTATGTACTGTGTAGTCATTCTCAGTGAGCAACCTCTAAGGTCATTGCAATATTATTCTTCTGACATCAGAAAGATAGTGGCACTTCTGAACATGTGCCTGCTAGGACTTCTCAATTTCAGTTGCATCCTAGATTTATTTCATGGAAGCTTGTTCTGCCTCTTCTAGTTGGGCAATATTTTGCTCATTGACTTTATTAACAAATTCTTCAAAAGAGGCATCATATTGTTTAATTACATAGACAAGTGTAGCTAAAAAAATAAAATAAATAAACAAATACGTAGACAGGTGGCCCTACTACAGATATATATGGTAGAGATGGTCTCTGGGGTAATCGTATATTTCTTTGGTTAGAAAATACAACATAGGCCCAATTCCAAGCATGTAGGCTCCTGTTACACCAGTTTTAGGATAGAGGAACTGCAAGAATTCCACAGGAGTCAGCCCATGATTAACTTCTCTACCATATTACAAGAGATAGTAGAGGAGCAAGTATTGGCTGCCTTGTCTGTGTGAGAGATCCTTGTTGCATGCGATATACTTGGTCCTACAAGGGCCGTGTTCTTTGGACAGGGGCCACTGTAACAGCAGCAGAAAGTACCGCCTGGGACAGCATGATCAACAAAGTTCCAGGAAGCGGTCTAGTCAGGGCATCCCCATGACCCTGACTAGAGGCTCTGGTCAGAAGCCAAGAAACAACACTTTAAAAAAGCATGGAAGGGGGCCTGGCCCTAGCTCAGGCCTTTAAGTGGCTGCTTCCACAAAGCTGTCAGCCTCAGGTTGCTGGAGTTCGAACCTCACACCTCTCCCGCTGGCCAA